GCTGGAACTCACTATGTAGACCAGGCTAGCTTTGAACTCACAGAGGTCCACCTGCCTCTGCCTCCCAAGTGCTGAGATTAAAGGTATGCACCACATTTATTCTGTTATCTTAAATTGTGTTCTATACTGGAAAGGTTGTACAAGGAATGAGATTTAAATTTAAAAAGCTGGGGCTGGAGAGATGACTCAGTGGTTAAGAGCACTTTCTGCTCCTGCAGAGGACTCGGGTGTGATTCCCAGCACCTACATAGCAGCTAAAAACCATCTGCAACTCCAGTTCCAGTAATTCTGATGCCCTTCTGATCTCCATGGGCATTGCATGACGCTGTGCACTTAGATACATGCAGGCAAAACACTCATATACAATAAAATAAAAGTAATAACTAAAATATATTGTGTCATTATTGCTTGCCTTTAAGGCATACGGCTGCTGCTCTAGCCACACCACGCACTGCCTACTCACATGCCATTACAGTCCCAGAATGAAGCAGAGATAGTTACCATGGTATTTATGGGATTTGTCCAGGTATCTGAGCCCCATACAGACTCTATACTTTGAAGCCACAAAGACTGAGTAGGTCAGCTATATTGCAGAGCAGGTTTTGGGGAAGAAGCCCTCTTCCCTGTTCCTAGGTGTGCTGCTCATAACTGTGCCTGTTGAGAACAATGGATAAATCAGGACTTCACACACTCTGTGGCTTTGGTCGTGGTTGTACCAGTATCAGGTTTGCTCCGTGCAAAGTGTTGGGTAGGACAGTAAAAGGCTATCATATCCTGCATTTATTCCACTGCAGTGTAGAATGGCCTACCTGACAGTAGTGTGACTCCTCGGCCCTCCTGTTGACCTGAGCAGTATTTCCATCATGAGCTACCTCCTAGTCCTTCTTCCCCAATGGCTCCAAGGTCTTAACCTTCCTGGGGCTTCCTGTCTCCTGTGTGTGCTCCTATGGTTCTGTGATGGTCCCTTGCTCAGCTCCTCTCCCTCTTCCTTGAGTGGCCTTCAAGCCCCAGGGTCTGTAGATATCTCTGTACGCTGTCTCCTCTCAGCTGCCCGTCACTACTCTTACCAGCATTGTTACTGTGAGTTGTTGACATGTCCTGTCAGCTCGCCCCCTTTGGGTCTTACAGTCCACAGTGTGACATCGTCCCTCAGCTGTGGCATTGGATGCCTTGACAAAAAGAAAGAACCATAAGAAAAGGGGATGGTTGGCTCTCTGTGGCCCATGGGAGGATTAGTGCTACAGGTTGGTAGAGGTCACCTCTGTGTGTACACAGTTGCCCTGAATTGTCCTGACTCAGAACACAAAGCGTTGCAGCTGTCAGAGCCCTACAGGACTGTGACAAGGTTAGGATACTGCCTGCACAGTCTCAGAGTTCCTTTCTACAGACGTGGTAGTCAGGAGTGGCAGACTCCCTTGCCTCTTAGAATTCTGGAAGCTAGGATCACCTCATGCACATGTGTCAATGATGATGTCTTAGAACATTTTACTGGGTTTTGTTGATGACCCCAGGTAACCACCCGCACTCCTAGAAGCAATGTTGGCTACATATTTAGAGCCTGTTCCTCAGAGGTAGACAGACTACTCTGAGGCCTTTTGGCACTTTTCAGGAAGGAGCCCAAGACCTCAAAGGCTACCTACCACATGGTAATAGTCCAGTGTCGCCACATGCTCTCATCAGACACTGCCGCCCAGAGCCTGGGCCTGCTCTTGTTCAATTTCTGTGCTGAAAAAAGGACTTGATTCATTTGTAGACTTTGTGTCCCCTGTTTGCTTCTCCATTCTTGTGTTTCTTTTTTTCTTTTCTTTTTTCCTGTATTTCCTTTCTCACTTTTTCTGGTTTTTTGTCCTTTGCTTGTTTTTATTTCACCTCCCCCTGTCCCTCTCCACCTCCAAATTCCTCTCTCTTTTTCCTCTTCCCTTTTTTTTTTTTTTTTTTTTTTTTTTTTTTTTTTTTTTTTTTTTTTCTCGTCTTCTCTTTTTCTTTTTTTTTTTTTTTTTTTTTTTTGTCTTTCTCTGTTTCCTCTTCCTCCTCCTCTTCCTTGTTTGGTCCTTTTTGAAGTTGAGCCCAGTGGCGGGACTCCACGGCGTAGACCTCTCTCCTTCTGCCCTTGCTGTGTCCAGGAAGGTAACGTAACCTCACCCACTCATCCCCCCATGCCTCGGAGGGGCCGTAGCCACAGTAGTCCAACACGGAGCGAAGGCCCAGCAATTGCTCCTCTCTCTCTGATTTTTGATAGCTCTACTTCAGAATGTCATGAGTATGTGGAAGTTTCTTACAAGGCACAGTATCCCTTTGACTATCTAAGGGAGGACGGGAACAAAGGGACGCCAAAGAGCCTGTGGACTCCAGCGTCTGCAGATTGCAGAATTCCTTACAGTCCTGCCCACCATTGGTGCTTGGGGGCCTACATGCTCCAGGCCACCATATAGAGGGCCAGGAACACAGGGGAGGAACCTCCCACTGTGCCAGCAATTTGTATTGATGGAGTCAAGGAATACTGTCCTTACAAAGACTGGTCTATACAAATGCCCCCAAGTTTTGTTTTGTTTTGTTTTGTTCCAGAGCAACCACTAAAAACAAACTTCTCTACCTCATGTCTTGCTGAGTGTGTCTTGTTTTGTTTTAAGTTTGTCTGATTTGGAGTCTGTTGTGGTGATAAGGTTGTCATTGATAAGGCATGTGGGCAGGGGAAGGGGAGTTTGGCCATGACTAACCCCTGCTAACCTCTTACTCTGCTCTCCATGGCTCTCATATGTGACCTTCACCCACCCTACCACATCCCCTTGCTCATCATCTATGACCAACCTCCACCATGGCTCATGAGCGGTATCCCGATGCTCCCCTCCAACCTCTGGTGGAATTCTGGCTCTTTACACCCTGGGAAGTGGGAAGGAGGGACAGACTTGGTGGTGCACTCACTGCTTACTGCACTGGACAGCTTGCATGCCTCGGGGCTCCATCTCCATGGCCACGTGGGCACACTGTGCAGAGACGCTCCAGAAGGAATGCGTGGAACTGGGCTATAGGCTGCTTTAAAGCCAAAGACCCAAGTCTATTGGATTGGGTGAGGAGAGCTTGCGCCCCCAGACCTGTAGGCAGGCTCGACAGGCCGGTATGGGGGTACCCATCCTTGACAGTAGAACTCAGGGCCAGTACCCCCACCTCAAGAGCAAGGGTGCATGTGTGCTGGGGACGGTGCAGACACTAACCTTTCTTGTGTGAATATGAGTCATTTCTGCCTCCAGAGCATGGCCACTGGCTAAAGACTTAAACTTAGGCCTGACATGCGTCCAGCATATGGTGACTGAGGTTGGCCTTTTACCTAAGTGTGAGAAAGTCAAGGAAGTGGGAAAAAGCAAGTGGGGTATTGACATGGGAAAGGGACCCACTTGAGGATGTCTTCCACACTGCTGGGCTAGGACACTTCTAGGTTCGATCTTCCAGGCAGGTTACTCAGAAAGTGGAGGGGCCTTTGAGAGCTCTCTAGTCCAACACTTCTTAATATGAGGCCCATGGATGGACTTCAGGAAGCCCATGAATACCCTGAGTTCTGTATAAAATTATTTGATGTTGGGCTAGGGGTAGCTCCGTGTCAGGGCATTTTCCTGGCATGTATGAGACCCTTTGTTCCATCCCCAGCACACAATAAATAAAATTTTATGTCCACATAAGCATTTTTCTTGAGATTCTCAAAACTCTAATCCAAAAGTATTAAGGAGCCACTGATTTAGTGTTCTTCCAAGACCAAGCTACACTGGCCATGAGCATCTTTGTGCTCCAAGTAATGGAGTTTGTTCCTTCCTGGGTGGTTTGATTCCTTAAAACATCCTTCTCAAAAAAAAAAAAAAAAAGTCCTTCTGCCATTCTTTTGCTGCCACTCCTGATGGAGACTCAGTGCCAGTCATGTGTTAGTTCAGGGCAGGCCAAGTCAGCAGGTGGCCCAAGAGCAGGGGCCTTCCTCAGCCCCAGGGTCTGCTGGGAAAAGCTGGCAAACAGCCTGATGTTCTGTCTACCATGCAGGCTTGGCTGGAGTATTTGTTGCCAGGCTGCACATGAAATGATGTCCTGGGGTTTGAGAGATGGCTCAGCAATTAAGAGCACTGACCCGGGTTCCATTCCCAACACCCACGTGGCTGCTAACAGCCATCCATAATTCCAGTTCTAGGGGATCCAATGCCCTCTTCTGACCTCTGTGGGCACTGCATGACCTGGTGCACTTACATACATGCAGGTAAAATGCTCTTACACATAAAAAAATTAAATAAATAAATTTTTTAAAAAGAAATGGTGTCTTTGGGCTGGGGATGTAGCTCAGTGGTAGAGTGCTTGCCTGACACATACAAGGCTAGGCAAGTACATAAGAAAACAAAGAAATGGTGTCTTCCTGGTCAGAATAGGCAGCAGTGATGAGGTATCAGTTAGGGGCTCCTGAAAGAGACAGCTACCCAGGAAAGAAAGTCACTTAAAAGCAAGGTGTAGAGCTGGGCATGGGGGCACATATGAATAATCTCAGCATGTGGTAGATGGAGGCAGGAGGATTAGGAGTTCAAGGCCAGCCTGTGCTACCCTACCTTTAAAGCAAGGTATAGTTTGTAAATTTACACTTGTTCCGTTTATTAGACTGTTTTCCTCCAAGGAGGCCTAGCACATAGCAGGTAACAGAGAACAAATGAATGACAGGATTAAAAAGGGAAAGAAAGCCATTTAAGACACACACAAGCCACTAAGCAGAAGTATTAAGGTATTAAGAACAGTCATCACAGGACAAGGAAGGACTGGTGGAATGTATGGCTCTGTTAGACCCCAGGGTAGGTACGGTGCAGTGGCCTGTTGTCCTCTGCCCCCCAAGGCGGTAGGCAAACGTTGGACCTGGCTTGGGACTGTTCCGGCAGCATCTTGCTTGGCTCTTTGCACATTTGCCCCAGTGTGACAATCCCTCTGGGCTGGGCAGTCAGAGAGAGACCATCCCCTCGCCTGACCCTCGATCTCTCTCACAGGCATGGGCAAAAAGGATGACCCCAAACTGATGCAGGAGTGGTTCAAGCTGGTACAGGAGAAAAACGCCATGGTGCGCTACGAGTCGGAGCTAATGATTTTGTGAGTAGACCGAGGTTTTAAGAGCCAGCTACAGGGGCTGTCAGTGCCTGACACATCCCAGAAGGCACACACAATTGCCCTGATTTGATGGGGTGAGAGGGCTGGGTCCCCTAGTCACTGTCGCTCTCTCTCTCTCTGTCTCAGTGCCCGGGAGCTGGAGCTGGAAGATCGGCAGAGCCGGCTGCAGCAGGAGCTTCGAGAACGCATGGCTGTGGAAGGTAAACAGAGGTGAGGGGGTGGGAAGATAAAGTGGGCCACTGTCCCCAGGCCACACCTGATGCCTTCAGCCACTTGGCAGATAACCTGAAGACTGAGGAGGAGCTGTCAGAGGAGAAAAAGATACTAAACGAGATGCTGGATGTGGTGGAGCAGAGAGATTCCCTGGTGGCTCTGCTGGAAGAGCAACGACTCCGGGAGAAAGAGGAGGACAAGGACCTGGAGGCTGCCATGCTGTGCAAGGGCTTCAGCCTGGACTGGTCCTGAGCCTGGCTACCCTTGCAATTGGTAGATTTGCACCCACCTGACCGGGCTGCGTTCTCCCAAATCACTGGATCCAGGATGCAAAGACGCCTGGAGTCCCTGGGAGGTTGCACACTGACGCATGTGCTGTGGGGAAACACCAGGTGAGGGTGATGGTCTGAGGTGACTCCACCTCCTGGGAGAGACCACCTGAACTTCCCACTCGGGAGGGAGGAGATGGGTGTGTTTGATGTGTGCCCTGGGGAAAACCCCTGCAGGTCCCTGAGAGCTTGCTGCCTGGCACCCCTTCCTTCCTTCCTTCCACTGGTAAGAGAGGGAAGTGGCTTCTTCTCTTGAGAGCCACCACCACCACAGAGCACCTGCAGAGCAGAAAAGCCATCGTTTTCATGCTCCCTGAAGCACCGCCAAAGAAAGAGGCATCTGCAGAAGTGGGCTGCGGATAGAGACCCAGGAGGAGGCCATACCCGTAATGGTGGTGGATGCCCACCCTAGCATCCAGGGAAGCTAAGCAGTAGGCAGGCTCTGAATCATTATGCAAGTTAGGAGGACACAGGAGGGTTCTGTCCCCTGCCCTACAACACACTGGATTCCCCAGTGGCCAAATGCCTCAGGCCACTCACTGGTGGTGGCCTGGGGTCCATGGATTGCTGCATTTTGCTTTTAGTTCACAACCATGTTGACACTGGAAAGTAATGACTTTGGGAGGGCTCAGGGAGGCCCTACATGTCAAGCTCCCCTGTTGACAGACAGACGTCATCCCTGGTCAGCAGCCACATCAGTACAGGAGACAGACGTCATCCCTGGTCAGCAGCCACATCAGTACAGGAGACAGACGTCATCCCTGGTCAGCAGCCACATCAGTACAGGAGATGACCCCCTTGGCGGTTTCCTGTGTTTGCACATTGAAATGAAACTGACAACCTGGCCAGACACTCAGCCACTTCGGACCCTTTTTGTCGATTAACTTATTTTTTTAATACTTGAAAATAAGCAACTTCGTTTTTATATCTTTACTAGAGACACTGATCACCTGTCACCTGCATGGAGGAGTGACTGAGAGGTCTTTGTATATCCCACGCAGCCTGATGCAAAATTGACCTGATACTTGTTACATGCATCTATTTATTAGCCTTCTTCATAGTATTACTGACTTAGGTCGGCACCAGGGAGCCCCTCAAGGCCCTGTGGGCCCTTCTCGAAGCTTTTCTGTCCCTCCTCCACCTAGCACCCTGTTCCTGCTGATCACTGGACTTAGAGCAGAACTGTCTCTTGGTAGAATGCATATCAGCATCGTAGGAGGCCAGGAGGCAGACAGGCCGCTCTGGTCTCTCCCTGTTGGGATCTTGACTCTGTAGAACTCCTCAGTTTTGCTGCCAAGGTTTTACCTCCTCAAATAGGTTGAGGATAGGCCCTCTTCAGGGGACTGGGACCAGTTGGGATGTGACTTTGTCATCAAGCTGGCAGGTGAGAGTGCCTCTGTCCAGCCAGACAGGAATGCATATGCTGGTCTCTTCCCCAACACACCGGCAACTCCAGTCTTCGCTGCCTGTACTACAAGTTCCTTGCTCAGCAAGGGACACTTAGCACCATGTAACCAGCTCCATAGCCAAGCTGTTCATTTCTCATGGTTCAGCCAGAAGCCCAGCAGTGGGGGCCAGTGTGCTTCTCTATCAAAAGAAGCAGCAGAGGGACCAGTCCATCAGTGCCAGACCAATCCAGAAGGGGCATGCCAGCCAGGCCTGGTGGAAGGGGCCCGTGCAGAGAATAAGCCGTCTCTGGCAGCTTTTCAAGGCTCCTGAAAGCAGCACAGCCAAGGACCCACACTGACTCTGGACTTCCCATGGGAACCACACTGTGCCTCAACTTGACTTGAACATTCACCCTAACTCCAGAGGAGCAAACAGCCTGTCTTGGGTCTTCACTCCGTGCAAAAGCTGCCATCTCTCCTATGGAAATCCAGGTGTGCTGCTAGCAACCACTACAGCGCTAATGTCCTCACTTCTTTGTTTCTGACGTGGCAATATCGCTACTTTTAGCCTTTGTCTGAAGGAGAGAGAGGAGGGTGAAGGTGTTCTGGATTCCATTTTCAGCCACAGTCTGCCAATCAGACTGGACTTGGGACAGGATGTTGATTGCCCGAGTGGCCTTCTCCCCACCCCTGTCCTCTGAAGTGCCACCGGCAATCCTGTGCAGCTCAGCCCTGTCACCCCTGCTAACTCAGAACAAGGAAACTCTTTCCAGAGTGACTCATGAAGGATGCAGGGGCAGTGCTGTGCTTCAAGTGGCCTCACAGAGCAGAAACACCAGATGTTCCCTTCCGCCTCTGTCTTGGTCAGCCGTGACATTGCTGCATCTTTCCAAAGCACACGATGCTTCCTGCAGTCACTAGAGAGGTGGCAGAAGACTTTGCAGAAGGACCTCAGAAATCCACCAGCCTGGGAGACAACCCCCAGCTCTCCACCTGTGACAGTGTGAGGACTTCAGGTTCTCATAGAGCACTTTTTTAACGCTCCCAATTTGTAACCACTAGTTTGCTGTTGATTTTAGTAATCTGGGGACTTGCTACATGAAATGTTTTCCACTTCTGGAAATGCATGCAGCTCTAGTCAAATGCTCTTCCCCCAAATTATGTCTTCACTTGAAGGCAGGGAAGAAGGATATATTTACACTTTATATACATATAAGATGCTAGAGTTCATTTAAGTAAGCCCAAATACATGGGGATCCTCTATATCCCTTGAGGGCAAGCAGAAGACAGCCTCCTGCTCCCAATTAGGTATGAGTCTGGCCAGGAGGTCCATGTGGGATTCTAAGTCTTCTCACTTGGCATCTTTGGGTCTTTGCCCCAAACAGCCATCCTCAAGCTGATTTTGACCAGCAACCATAGACTTCAAAAGATAAGACAGTTTTCACTGGGACAGGAGAGAAAAAGAGTTGGGGGTGGGGAACAAATGTCAGGGACTGGGAATATAGCTCAATTTTAGAATGTGTGCTTAGCATGCATGAGGCCCTAGGTTCAATCCCCAGCACCACACACACACACACACACACACACACACACACACACATACACACAAGATTTTTTTGAAAGGTGGTAACATTGACCTACAAAGGAGAATGGTCTGTTTTATGCGCAATAAAAGTTTTTAAAAGAAAAATTTGTGAAGTCATTTTACTGTGCTTGGCATTCATTGAGCCAGAACATTTCTAGATCACCTGTCATTTGGGTAGGTGATGTATACACAAGCCATTTGGCTAGCTTATGTGTGTCAGGGTTGTTCAAAGAATGTAGCGCATTGTTCCGTTTGTGATTTTTGAGTCCTCCATGTTTTCCTGACTCAGACATCAGCAGCTAGCTCTTAAGAAACTGTCTGTGGCAGCCCTATTTGATAAGAGCACTGAGTTCTGCCAAGGAAGCCAGAGCCAAACCCTTAGGGCAGTTTACCAGCTATTCCAGAGAGAAGGCTGCTGTCCAGGACCCCTGTGTGATGTAAGGTGAAGAAAAAAATAAATTAATTAAAAAAAAGAGGACAAAGTAGAAAAACTAGCTCAGGCCAGGACAGATTGTAGCCCTAGACTTCTGAGAAGAAAGGTCATGAGCTGGAGAGATAGCTCAGTGGTTAAAAGCACTGGCTGCTCTTGCAGAGGACCCAGGTTTGATCCCCAGCACCCACATGGCAGCTAACAGCCATCTGTAACTCCAGTTCCAAGGGAATCCAACACCTTCTTCTGACTTCCACAGGCATTGCATGACATAGGTACACTTACATACATGCAGGGAAAAATCTCATACACAAAATAATAGTAAATAAAAATTTCAAAAAGAAAGAAAGTTCATGATCTTTGTCCTTTGGAAAGCAAAATGGAACTGAGGGGTCACCTGGGCCCAGCCACCTTTTCTCCCTAGAGCCATCCTTATGGTCAGAGCTTAAAACAGGAAGAACTTGGCCAAAGTTCACAGTTCAAAGCAGCCCCCATAGCAGGAAATGGTGGTAGTTTTAGGAAGGCAGCCAGAGACTAATGCTATGAGGCTGCCTTGAAAAACAGGTTCCTTCCAAGAAACCACCTTTCCTAGCCTCTGCCAATACAGCTGACTCTTCTCCTATCAGGAGAGTGGGAAGGGGAGTTTGGATATCTGCCTAGGTAAGCTTCTGTGTGGTAAAGATACCGATATAAGGGTAGAAGTCCTCCTGAGTGGGTCAACCCTCAGACCTTGGGTCTGTGCCTTCAGTTGTACAAGTCAGAGGTAGGTTTATGCTTGTAAACTTGGCTTCCCTCCGTTTGGAATTTTCTGGAGAGGAAAAATTCCCTCTCCTGGCTCATAGTTGATCCTATGTTGAGTAGTACAGTCAGAGAGATAGGGGATATGTAGATTTAGGGGATAGTCTAGGTACAAAAGGTCTGGAGGGGGGCCTATAGGCAAGGAGGCTTAGACACTGCAGAGTGAGTAGGAGAGCTCATCTTTCCTCAGCAGGAGCCCAAGGAGCAGTGGGGGCCACCTCTCTCCTGACCCAGGAGAGAGGAGCAAGTCACTACCCTCTGCCGGACTTCCAAACACCAGGAATGTATTTCCTTCTTGGATGAAAGGTTTGACCTTCGTCCTTTTTTATTTACATTTCTTTTAGAAGTTTCCTTCTGATATAAGATCCTAAAACACACCACATAGGGACTTTCATCTCATTTTTCCTTCCTCTTACAAAATATATTTAATTATGGGGCCAGAGAGATGGCTCAGTGGTTAAGAGCACCAGCTGCTCTTGCAGAGGACCCCAGGTTCAATTCCTGGCACCCACATGGCAGCTAACAACCATCCATAACTCCAGTTCCAGGGGATCCAACTTTGTCTTCTGACCCCTACAGGCATCACAGAACATAGGTGCACTTATACACATGCAGGCAATACATTCATTCACATAAAATTATATGTAATATATATTATATATATTTAATTGTAAGGTGGTATTTATAATTTAGTGACCTATTTTCAGACAAGCTCTCTCTGGTCTTCCAGACTTTATTGTGACCATGTTATAAAGACTATCTGTTTCCTAATCTTTGGTGAGTGGCCAAACATCTCCCAATAATGGAAGAGACAACCAGCAGGTTCTCCTCTGGTATGGACACCTTCTTGCCTTACTAGCTAGTTGGTGGTCAAAAGAGAGATGGAGAAAGGAAATGGGAGAGATAAAAGGAAAAGAAGTTGTTGGTCAAGAACAAGTTCCACAATTCTTACATAGATCTACACTTAAAATACTAAAACCTGGCTCAAGAGATGGCTCAGTGCTTAAGAGCACATACTGTCCTTGCAAAAGATCCAGGTTCAGTCCCAGCACTCATGTCAGACAGCTTACAACCACCTAGAAGTCCAGAGCATCCAGGGAATTGGACACCTAGTCTCCTTGGGCACCTCTACTCATGTCCACTTACACACATACAAACACAAGTAGTTAAAAATAATGGAGCTTACGGGCTGGAGAGATGGCTCGGTGGTTAAGAGCACTGACTGCTCTTGCGGAGGACCCAGGTTCAATTCCCAGCACCCACATGGCAGCTACGAACTGTCCTTAACTCTGGTTCCAGAGGACTCCGAAGTCCTCTTCTGACCTCTGTGGCATCCCATGACATGGGTGCACTCACATACATGCAGGCAATACACTCATACACATAAAATAAAAATAATAAATAAAATATTTTTTAAAAAAATAATGGAGCTTAGCCAGGCATGGTGGTGCACACCTTTAATCCCAGAACTCGGGAGGCAGAGGCAGGTGGATCTCTGTGAGTTCAAGGCCAGCCTGGTCTACTTGGGGCTACAGGGAGACCCTGTCTCAAAAAGACAAGAAAATAAAAAAAATAATGGAGCTGGAGAGATGGCTCAGCAGTTAAAAATGTGACCTCTGCTCTTGCAGAAGACCACATTCAGTTCCAGCACCCACATCAGGTGGCTCACAATTACCTATAACTCCAGCTCCGGGGGATCTGATGCCTCTGCCTTCCACAGGCATCTGCATTCACATGCACATACCCACACACAGACACACAAAATTTAAAATAATAAAAATAAAGCCAGCATGGTGGCACACACCTTTAATCTCAATACTCAGAAGGTAGAAGCAGGACGATCAGAAATGCAAGGTCATCACTGGTACATAAAAAACTTGAGGCCAGCCTTGGCTACATGAGACCCTGTCTCAAAAGTCAGGCATGATGGTGCACGTCTTTAGTCCCAACACTCAGAGGCAGAGACAGAAGCAGGTGGATCTCTGTGAGATCAAGGCTAGCCTGGTTTACATAGCAAATTCCAGACCAGTTGGGACTCTAGGGATATCCTGTCTCAAACAAAAAGTAAAAAGAACAAAGAAACAAATAGAAATCATGTGCACACATCGGCAAGACTGAGCCATCACTGACTTTAACTTGCCAACAGCTAAGTCGGAGGCTGACTATAGCCAGGCATCCCTGACTAACCACCAACCAAAGCTGAGACTCCATGACTCTCCCAGACCTTAGGCATCAGCCAAGACAGAGGTGTCTCCCAAAATTCCCAGTCTTCAGGGTCAAGATGAAATCTCAAACTTGTGACTGACCCTTTGCACACCTCCCTAAACTACTGATCCTTCTCCAATCCATTGTCAAAATCAGCTGACTCAGGAGTCCAGCTCCACTCACTAGTCTGGAAAAACTTCCAAACAGACATTCAGAGTTGATGCTTAGTTTCCCCAGGACCACAGTGGTCATGCAGGACCAGTGAGTCGGTGTCCCATCAAATTCCCTTTAGTGGTTTAGACATGTCTTCAGCAATGTAGGAGGGCCATCCTGAGACAGGCCTCTTTTCATTCACTGCCTTGCTTCCCCAAAGGTAAAAAACAGTAGCCAGGACAATGAGATGGCCCAGCCTCAGCACTTGCTGTATAAGCCTGACAAGTTCAATCCTCAGACCCCACAGTGGAAGAACAGAACCTACTCCTAAAAGTTGTCCTCTGACTTCCACATGCTCTCTATGGCATGTATGCACTTACACTCACACACATATCACACATACACTATAATAATTTTTTAAAAATAGACAAAGGCAGCTGGGCGTGGTGGCTCATATCTTTAATCCCAGCACTTGGGAGGCAGAGGCAGGCAGATCTTTGTGAGTTCGAGGCCAGCCTGGTCTACATAGTGAGTTCCAGGACAGCTGGGGCTATAGAGAGACCCTGTCTCAAAAAGACAAAAAAAAAAAAAAAAAAAAAAAATAGACAAAGGCAAAGTCCCACCTAGGTTGCAATTAGTGACTGAACACAGTGGTTTCACATCCTGGTGATTCAAAGCCAAAAGGTAAAGTCAGCTCAGAAGAGAGCAAAAAAAGGTTTTTATTGCTTACAGACAGGAGAGCATAGTTTCCAAAATGGTGCCTTCCTTGAACAAAGAAAAGGTAGAGAATTAATTTGGAAAGTCTCTGCATGTTTATATGGGGATAAAACTTTGGGCCAATATTGCTCATTTAAGGTTCAAGAAGGAAAGCTAGCCAGGCACGGTGGCACATGCCTTTAATTCCAACACCCAGGAGACAGAGGCAGGCAGATCTTTGTGAGTTCCAGGTCAGCCAGAGCACACTGACCCTGTCTTAAAACCCACAAAAAAGCTAGTAGACAGGAATGCCCTCAAATAAGTCCAGTCAGTATAAAGAGCCAGGAGTGGTGGTGCATGCCTTTAATCCCAGCACTTGGGAGGCAGAGGCAGGCAGATCTCTGTGAGTTCAAGGCCAGCCTGGTCTACATAGTGAGTTCCAGGACAGGTGGGGCTACAGGGAGGCCCTGTCTCAAAAAGACCCCCACAAAAAAAAGTATGGGAAAGATTTGCTGGGTACACCTGGTCTTCATTGTATGTTCAACAGGAATAGAAACTAACTGATCTGATCACCCCTGGCTTACATCATCAACTACAGTGGCTTAGACCCAAAGGAAGCTAAGAAGCAGACTAGCCAGACTATCAGAAGGGTAATGAAGGCCTCCCCTCCACCTTCCAGGCTCCCACCGGCCAAGCTCTCCTGAGACCCCTTCCCCAGCTCTGAAATTTCATAGCAATCAGAGCTGCCCCAGGCACAAAAGTCAACAAAGTTTGCACATTCCAAGCCTGATTTGTATGCTTCCAGTCTGCTATATTCCATGCA